ATATATATATATATATATATATATATTAGTATTTCCCTTCTCAGCTTGTGGAAGAGCTGTTTGTGATTAGCTTTGATTCATCATGTGACTTTCTCATCACCACCTGTTTTTGGTGGTTATCAATATTACAATGGTTCAAAACAGATATTAGTACTTCAATATGCTGTTTTATTAACATTACATCGGTTAACAAAATACGTTTTTTTATTGTGAATTTAAGTTAAGTCTGTAAAACCTAAAATGTTGCTACCAGATTTTTAACGGTGAAGTTCTGGCAACCACAGCTGCCGGTATTTTACCGTAAATGTCACAGATTTTTTTTTACAGTGCACCACATATCCAATCAAATTAGAGGACCAGGAACTAACTGTTGTATAATAAATGATAGACAATTATTGACTAAATGGAAACAGCAAAGCAAAAAGAAGGACTGTAACTGTAAGAGAGGAAGCAACACCAGAGGAAAAAAAAGAGAGAGACAAGGTACGTCACAGACGAGGTTTGTGGTTGAGGTACAGGACGAGAGAACAAAACACAATCAGACAGGAAAATTACAGCTTTTCTGTCATAGATTGAAAAAGGAAGGAAAGAAAAACAGAAAGTGGAAATAAGAGAGCAAGATAGTGGAGAATTGGTCTCCGTGGCTGTGGTGCATGAAGTCGCTGATTTCTGAAAAGGGAAGACATAGAGACACAAACAGAGAGAGAGATGGGGGTAATAGAGAGAGGCAGCTGTCTAGTGTCTGCAGCGCAGCCGCTGTCTCAGCCTCTGTGGGAGATCGACAGGACTCCATCTGTCTGCCAGACACGTCTACACACCAAGCCTCAAACAATCACAGCTGCCTGTCTTTCACAATCATACAAACAAACAAACAAACACACACTAGCTATCTACGAGACCCAAGTGGCATGATTAGGAAAACGTAATGAAACCGGAAATGATGGAGAGAAACAGATCAGGTAATGTCACAAGCCTAAATTACTTAAATTTCCGTCAACAAAATTAGTAGCATGGCTCATTGTATTGTTGACGCATGCATGCTAACCATTAGACCGTCAGCACAACACTTAAATTTTAGAAAAAAAAATCTAACATCAGATAAATCTAAACTTGGGTGTGGAGTCTAAAAATATTTGGGTTCTGACAGTCTCTGGTCAGGTGGTCCCCATTTAGCCATGAGCTTTAACCACTTGTGCTCTATAGACACACTAGCTGGATACAGTGCCTAGGCAACAGACATAAATACAGACATACACAAACTCAAAAGCCATCCAAGAAAGTTCTGAAGAATTCTCTAGAGCACCTGGAACATCAGCTGTGTCAAAATAACAAATAATTTATGTTAAATTTTATTGTTTTTAATACAATTATTTATTATTATTATTACTATTATTATTATATTAATTATTTATGTTGGCACACAAAAATGTAGTTGTGTAGTTTCAATAAGAATTTTGTTAATGCTTTGCTACTGGAAGAGAGCTGAACTGGATGATGACATCACTGAATCATCAATGAACTGACTTTAGCTGGAAAAATTACTCTTTGTTATTGTCTTTTTGTCATTTTCCTGTTTGACACTGTAAAGCTGCTTTGACACAATCAGTATTGTATAAAGCGCTATACAAATAAAGGTGACTTGACTTGACTTTGGAAAAGATTAAGAAAAAAATTAATTAATAAAATTAATAAACTATAATAAGCTTAGGTTATTATCTATAGTATAGATCACAGGCATGTTTCACCAGTGGCTATTTCAAAATCAGGGACACCCAGAATATGCTGTCAAGGCAGACAGCTCACTAGGTTTAAAACACAGCCAGTGTCCTTGATTAAGGGGAAGAGGGCTGGTTCTGAACAAGCTAAAGTGCTGTGTGCAGAAGTCTGGCGGTGAGGGTCTGATCGTCACCAACATCCACACGGCCACCTGTGGAAACTCTGAGTCACTTGTTCTGGCACTCCAGCATCACAGATGTTTAGAGTGAACATTTCATCCAGTAAACTGATGAGTATGTCTGCCCTGCTTCCCGTACAGACACACATGCACCTAAAGATGAGTGTGCATGTGTTGCTGTTCTTTATCGGCACGACCCACGTAAGCTCAGCATTTAAGTAATGACCTTTCACGCACGCACATATGTCTGTTTACAATTCCATCAAAAGCTGTTTAACAGAACTGCAAGCACCTGCTTCTTTGACACCACTTCACTCCTAATCAGTGTTGTTATTGTTAACTGAAACTACATTTATATCTATTAGAAATCATTTACAGCACTTCAAATAAAGCTGAAATAAAATAAAATAAAATAAATATTAAATGAAGTTAAAATTATTAAAATTATTAAATTAAATTTATTAAAAATATATTTATTTCAATTTTAGTTTTGACAATTTTAATAATGTTAACTTAAATTTATTTTTATTTCAGTTTTAGTTATAAGTTAAAATTATTACATTAAAATTATCAAACTGAAATAAAAATAGAAATATTAAAAAAAAATATTAAAGCAAAATAAATGTGAAAATGTGAAAACTGAAAATATAATAATAAACACTGATTCAAAATATTAATAAATACTAAAATAGTACATAAATATATATTTGAACTTCCTGCATATGTTTTACAGCTGGGGTTTTCAAACTAGGTTCGGTGGAAAATTAGAGAGACAAAATATGCCAATTTTTTTCATTTTGCTTAAAACAATATAGGACTGTCATATTTACCATAATTAAATTATTTAAACCCCCCTGATTTAAAACTCCTTACAGCTTAAAATAAAATTATAAAATTCATTGAGAAAGCGTCGGGGTAGGTGCAAGACGCTGCCAGACAGGGATGTGTCAGGAGCTCGACAGTTAACGTTTAAAGAGAAGGCGTCACTGACTCGCTCGCATTTGTGGGAGTTTGATATCTCACCCTCAGCCAAGCGCAGCAGAGATGATCCCTGGGGGCGTTTAGTGTGTGTGTGCGAATCAATTTCATTAGTGTGTGTTAAGTATAAGTGAGCCGAGTGTTACAGTGTTACTGGCTGTTTGTGTGTCAGGGTGAGGTCAGTCTGTGCAGCAGATGTGACTGTATGACTGACAGACTCAAGGTCTGTTTTAGTATATGAAGTGTCTGTATTGGGGGGAGGGAGGGCGGAAGCAGGAATGTGGTTTGGGTGCTAGACGAGACACCAGACAGTATTTCCGGCACACTTGCATAAGCACAGGAGAGACCAGGGCTTTTCTTCCTTACTTAGACAGAACACAATCATTCGCTCACATCGGCACTAAACTAAAAATTGTGTCTACTGGAACATTACCACACTGTTAAACCATTAAAGGGTTAGTTCACCCAAAAATGAAAATTAGACTGTGTTTTACTCACCCTTGAGGCATCCTAGGTGTATATGACTTTCTTCTTTCAGACGAATTCAGTCTGAAAG